CTTCCTTCCTTCCTTCCTTCCTTCCTTCCTTCCTTCCTTCCTTCCTTCCTTCCTTCCTTCCTTCCGCATTCTTTAGGGATTGTACTGTGACATCAGACAGCTGGTTCAGTTTATCAAGGAAGCTCACGGGAATGTCTTTAGAAGAGTAGCTCTCAGCGCACTTCTGGACAGTGCAGAGAAATTGATCCCAGGCAGAAAAACAGAGGAAACAACTGAACACGAACCCAAACCACCAAGCAGTAAAAGGTCTGTATCGAGCAGAAAAGGTAACGAGTTATTTCACAGTATGCGTCAAGGTGCGTGAAACGAAACGAAACACGTGAAATGCAAATATACATTCCCATGTAGTCCAACCCCAGGTGAACCCAGGTTTCATAACAAGATAAATGCTATCTTTCCTATCCTTCAAATGTGTCTAGGAAATTCCTGGCTCCTAAGTTAATATTCTGTGCTGTGCTGCTGATATGGACGCAGCCAGCAGGCTGCAGAATTTAGTATGCTCAAATCCCACGGAAATCTGTGCGACTGAAGGACTCTGTTCACGCTGGGTTAGTCATCTGAAAGGCTATCCTGCTATATACGATATAACTGCGAGGCAGGATTAAGCACCCAACTCAAAATGCATCACCATCCTTATCTGTGAGATCCAGACTTGATTATGTGTGTATTTGATACTTTCCATTTAAAAAAAAAAAATCCATCTGAAATTGACAGGTTGACCCTAGTCATGTTTAAGCTGCTATTCTATCTACACAGAAGTTACTTAGTGTCATAGAATCTCACAGAGCCGGAAGGGTCCCATAGAGGCCATCTAGACCCACCCCCTGCTCAATGCAGGATCAGCCCAGAGCATCCCTGACAAGTGTTTGTCCATCTGCTGCCAGGGATGGGGAGCTCACCACCTCCCCAGGCAGCTGATTCCACTCTTGCACAACTCTTCCTGTCAGAATTTTTTCCCCTAAGGTCCAGCCGGTACCTCCCCGCCCTTAATTTCAACCCATCATTGGGAGTCCTCTCCTCTACTGCCAACAGGAACAGCTCCCTGCCCTCCTTTGAGTGACAGCCCTTCAAATCCTTCAAGCCAGTTTGGTGTCGTGGTTAAGTGCGTGGACTCTAATCTGGGAGAACCCGGTTTGATTCCCCACTCCTCCACTCGCACCTGGCTGGATGACCTTGGGCAAAGCCATAGTTCTGTCAGAGCTGTTCTTGAAAAAGGGCAGTTTCTGTCAAGAGCTCTCTCAGCCCCACTGACCTCACAGGCAATGTTCCCTCTAAGCTGTGGAGTCCTGTGAGCCAAAATTCTACTTTGTGAGCTACTGGCATTAAAGTTGTGAGCAGGTAATTTGGCTACTGCATAAATTAGTTTGCACTGGAGCCCTCCTTCCTGAGCTAAGACAAAAATGTGTGAGCCGGAGGCTAAAAAAACTGCGAGCTAGCTCACACTAACTCAGCTTAGAGGGAACACTGCTCACAGAGTGTCTGTTGTGGGGAGGGGAAGGGAAAGGAGTTTGTAAGCCGCTCTGAGACACCTTTGGGTAGTGAAGGGCGGGGTATAAATCCAATCTTCTTCTTCAAGAGAGAGAGAGAGAGAGAGCCATCCTGTCCCCCCTCAGCCTCCTCTTCTCCAGACTGAACATTCCCAAGTCCCTCAGCCTTCCCTCACAGGGCTTGGTCTCCAGGGAATATCTCTCTGGCACCTCTAATGAAAGGATTTCATTTCAGATGTAGCAAAAAAAACCTGTCTCTGCCAGAGATCCTGGAGATCTTACAGCCAGTCAGAGCAGAGCTAGGGTTGCCAGCCTCCAGGTGGGGCCTGGAGACCTCATCTCTAAATGACACAGATCCGTTCCCCTAGAGAAAATGGCCACTTTGGAGAGTGGACTCTATGGCATTGTACTCAGCTGAGGTCCCCCCCCTTCCCAAATACCACCCTCTCCAGGCTCTGCCCCAAATCTCCAGGAGTTTCCCAATTCAGAGTTGGCATCCCTAGTCAGCAGATGGTGCTCAGCTAGATGGGCCAATAGTCCAGTCTGATGTAAAAGTAGGGTTGCCAAATCTTTTTCACCTGGCGGCGGGGGGCTCCTGCCCGGCGTCCTGAGTGCGTGCGCGCCGCCCGAATGTGACGTCATGACGCCGGGCACGCTGGGGGCGGGGCCACAGCCATTTGAGGGGAAAACTCTATGTTTTCCCCTCAAATGGCTGTGGCCCCGCCCACAGCATGCCCGGCGTCATGACATTACATCCGGACGGCGCGCGCATGGGGGTGGGTTTTCCCCTGGGGCCCGATTCCGCGGGGGCGGAAATCGGGCCTCCAAAGCGGGGGGAAATCCGCCCCCCGGGGGGACTTGGCAACCCTATGTAAAACCGAGACACGTGCTCCTTATCTTGCCAGGTTTATGACCACTGTGTGTGCGAATGGACAGATTGTAAGAACTGGATCTCTGTCTACATTGAGAAATGCTGCATTGATTTATAAAGACTAATCCTGAATTCACAAACACCGGAAGCTAAATTGTTGTGTTTTGCTTAGATCTGAAGTAGGCAGTGTCGTAATTGACAAGGGTCAGCCATCTTCTGCCCCCGATGAATGCCGCAGTTATATCTCAAGTCGCCCACTGCAGACCCCAGAGCAGTAAGTAGATATTTTGGAGCCTCTGTCCAAACTCTTACCCTCCCCTCCAGTCTAGTAAGAAATCTGATCTTTGCTTGTTGCCTTTTAATATACAGGCTTCAGGGTTGCCAGCCCTCCAGGTAGTGTCAAGTCAAGGACGAGAGATCACGGGACAGGATGAACTTGTCAGGAAAAACAACCGTGATAGAATAACGAAACCTTGTTAAGGAAAACTATATATTCTTCAATTTTCTTTGAAGTAAATTGGTCTCAAGTTTTTCTTAAATTGGTTTCAACTTTTTCTTTTTCTTAAATTGGTTTCAACTTTTTCTTTTTCTTAAATTGGTTTCAACTTTTTCTTTTTCTTAAATTGGTCTCATGTTTTTCTTGACAGTACAGCGCTCCATAGACCGTTTCACTCAAGGTTTCATCAGATGAGACCTTACCACTTTTGTAAGGTATAAGGAAGAGGGAGCAACAATATAAAAGGTGTAAGGTCTCATCTGATGAAACCTTGAGTGAAACGGTCTATGGAGCGCTGTACTGTCAAGAAAAACTTGAGACAATTTAAGAAAAAGAAGAACTTGAGACCAATTTAAGAAAAAGAAAAACTCGAGACCAATTTAAGAAAAAGAAGAACTTGAGACCAATTTAAGAAAAAGAAAAACTTGAGACCAATTTAAGAAAAAGAAAAACTTGAGACCAAGGCCCCGGTCACACAGGCCAGATAACATGGGGGGGGAGGCGTGGCTGTTTGCCCCGGAGCAAAATAAAGC